ACAGAGGTTTGGGGGTTTTGAGACAAGTGAAGCATGTCAGCCTGGAATCAACAATAATCAAAAGTCTCAAGGAAGCTGTCATACAAGCAACGGTGCAACAGATACCAGACATGTATTCGTATCCAATTGTATTGTCTTTATTTTGAGCCTGATACCGGTATCAGTATTTTCTTGGTTGGTGAAAAATCCATTGTCTCAGATTTGGATTTACAAATGAAAAAAAAGAATCTGTCTTCCTTTTTTTCAATATGCCCAATATCTTGTGTATCAAATATGTTTTTGGTGGGATCAGTCATCTGAGAGGATACAGAATACTTGTCTCACCTTCCAAAGACAATACGTGTGTATTGTCTCAGGAAAGTGAGACAACACCAATCCAGTATTTTTGGGTATTCAAATTCTGAGACAATAAAAATAGGGGCTTGGTTAAACAAATCCAAAAAAATGGAGAGCCGACTCCCAAGCCCCGGAATCCCCAAACTTTGGGAGTCGAACCCCCAAAACCTTTGATTGGTTTGGGAGTCAACTCCCCAAAAAATGAATCCCCCGGTCCCGACTCCCAAGCCCCGGAATCCCCAAACTTTGGGAGTCGAACCCCCAAAACCTTTGATTGGTTTGGGAGTCGACTCCCCAAAAAATGAATCCCCCGGTCGGTTTAGGAGTCAATCCTCCAAAACCGACCAGGGTTTGGGGGTTGGCTGAACAAAAGACCCCCACGGAAGTGGCCCAGAGGATTCCTCCCGGCTGCTCAGATTACATTCTCAATGGCCAAGAGCCGGAATCCCCTCGGCCATCGAGGGTATACACTCTCAACGGCCAAGGGAAACCACCTTGGCCGCTGATAGTACACTCTTGATGGCAAGGAGTGTACCTCTCATCAGCCAACATTGAGACTGTACACTCTTGACGGCCAACATCAAGAGTGTACACTCTTGACGGCAACATCAAGAGTGTACACTCTCAATGGCCGGGAGTGTATCTCTCAGCCGTCAAGAGTGTACACTTGCGACGGCCAAGAGTGTGCACTCTTGACGGCTGAGAGGTACACTCCCGGCCATCAAGAGCGTACTCTCACCGTCCAAGGTGGTTTCCCTCAGCTGTTGAGAGTGTATACCCTTGACGGCCAAGAGGATTCTGGCTCTCAGCCATTGAGAATGTAATCTGAGCGGCCAGGAGGAATCCTCCAGGCCGCTTCCGTGGGGGTCTTTTTTTCCACCAACCCCTCAAACCCTGGTCAGTTTTGGAGGATCAACTACTAAACCAACCGGGGGATTCTTTTTAATTTTTTTTGTGGGAGTTGTTGAGTTTTCAACTTCTCTGGCTACTCCTCCCCAAATCACTCCCTCTTTTTACTCACTTTTTCTCCTATTATCTTTCTTTAATCATCTTGATCTGGACTGAATTATATTCAATCACAGCTGTTTTCTGTCTTGAATCTTATGCTCTATTGTAGGCTAATTAGAACTCATCATGGCAATTTTCAGACAACTCTAGTCTTATTGATTGATTTCCTTCTTTTTCCATTTCACTATTTGATTCCTTAAAAACTGATTGATAAGAATTAACGCCTCTTATTCATTTGTGGTTGTGTGTTTGTTTTTTCATGATTAATTCGCTAGCTTTTCTAAAAGAGACTGAGAAGAATTGTCCGGCTGTTCCTTCCATGAACTCATTCATTCCTTCCTCTCAGTTTTTATTCAAATTCATCTTTTATTCAATTTCCCTCAACCACATTTTTAACCTTTTGTATTTAGTCTATTTAAAACAGGCTAACTACAAGAAATAAAATTTATTGGTTCTTTCATTCTTTTTTCGTGAACCATTCCCAAAAAAGGTCCTTAACCTTTTTTGTGCCCTCTTCTCAAAAATCTCAAATTCAACCGATCTAGAGCTCAAAAATTCAACAGGAGTTGACTCCCAAACCAGTCAAAAGTTTTGGGGGTTTGACTCCCAAAATTTGGGGATTCCGGGGCTTGGGAGTCGGCTCTCCAATTTTTGGGAGTCGTCTAACCAAGCCATTAAAAATAAACGCCTGATACTGTACTGTATTGTCTCTGTTGCACGGTTGATGCAAGCAGGGATCCCAACCTGCTATGCTTTCCACCCAAAAGTGAACCAAAGGCTACAAGATGACTTCCCATCAGCATTTACAACCCTCCCAGAACTTTGATATACACCCCTGAGGTCTCAATCTTACGCAAAAAAAAAACAAATTCAGAACACTTGTCACAATGTTGCTCATGTGAGCTGGTTGAGGTTTTGATTAGAGGGTTAATCAAGAACTGAGAGGGGTATAAAAAGCACTCTAAATGCCAACAGGAAGTTCTCTGCTATCCTGAAGCTCCACAACCTTACACATAAAAGCACCAAATTAGAAGTGCCATTACCTCCATACTACAATCAGTATCACTATCTTGAATCATAGGAATAGCAACCAAAAAAAAAAAAACAATGCTGTACTGTGCCCAGGTGGTTTTTTTTGGTATAGCAGGACTAGGAATTAAAGCAGATGTTAACCACTTATGGTATTTCAGATGATTGTTTAACACAGCAGCAAGTTGCTACACTATGTGCAAGTGCTGCTTTTTGTAGTGCAGAGTAGTGGTAGTGGTGGTGGTGATCCTATCTTGACATCATTAAAGCCTCTCAAATGAAGGGACCCTGTAACCTCCAGAACACTTTCCAATATAGGAGAGGCTTACATCATATCTTATGGCACAATTATGTCTGGAGCAGGAAACACTTCCAGACAAACAAACTGACACATGCAGAGCTAGGACCCAGGAAAGCCCCTGTAGAACACAGTAACCAAAAAACCAGGATTTTTGAAAAATTCATACATTTTTTGAGCCCATTCATACACGTTTTGTGCGTAGGTTCACCACTTTCCATGAGAATTCATACATTTTTGGTGCCTACCTTCTGCACAGGGGGGAGGGGTAAAAGAGGCAAAAAAGGGGGAGAAGCTAACCATACACCAGCCCTCACCTCAAGGGGTCTAGTTGCTGGTGCAAACAGTCCATCTGAACTACACATCAGCCCTTCAAAGCATTAAGCCTGGGCTTTCAAGTTAGAAGGGTGGCCTTGGGGAGCATTGTGGCCAAAAATTTTATGACTTTCATACACCTTTGGTTACTACCTCCCCTTCTTTGGTGAAAAATCCATACATTTGAGGTGAGTACCTTTCTGGGCAAAAACAGCAATTCATACATTCGGGGTGAGTACCTTTTTTGGTTTTTGACCAAAAAATCATACATTTTGGTTACTGTGTTCTATAGGGGCTTTCCTGGGTCCTGCAGAGCTTCACTTGTTGATCTCTCTCTTTTTCTTCTTTGTTGTCACTCTCTTGTCACCGGCCATTCCTTTTGTTTTTATTGATTATGAGTATGTAATTAGTAGACCCACAATCTGAACATCTTGTGTATCTAGAATAATTGATCCTTCTAGATCACTGCATAACTTACCACACTCTTCCTCTGAAGACACTCAAGCCTCTTTGGTGTCTTATTAAGAAGACACTTTCTATTAACTTTTTGGGTTACTGCTATCTGACTTTGGCTTTGCCAACTTCCCTCCTCCTTGCCATTAATTTTAAGAATACCAAAGCAAATGAGAGAAGCCCAAACAAAACAAAAAAACAAGACAAGGAAATGGATTTTTGGGCCTCCTTCATCTGCTGTGCAGATTTGGGGCTCTTTCAAGTCCATCTTCCGGCCATCCAATTCAACGGCTCCTCCAGGACCATCATAGGTAGACATTTCTTGGTTTTTTTTTATACTGAACATTGAGGTTGAGAGTTTTGCTGGAAAAATCCCTCTACATAACTGGATTTGCAGATTGATTGATTAGGTGCTCATCCTGAAGAGATTGCAGCTACAGAATAGCACAGTGTGGCTGAAACTCATTCCTGGTTGCCACTCCAGTTTTTTTTTTTTTTGGTCATCTTGATTCCAGTTCTAAATATTGTGGTTCATTCAATTTTGCAGATGATGAAAGAGTTCATGACCATGGAGTTGTACATAGTACATGAAAGAGGAGGATGATTGTGTGAACAGTTGTTGGGAGGATGTTGATTTCCTCCGGTCGTCTTGTCCTGCCTCCTTTATCAGGAAGTCCTTAGAAAGTCCTCTCCCGGTAGCTCAACATCCTGTGCTGTAAAAAGGACAAAGCTTACAGTCCTGACAACCAAAACCAGAAAAACAAGACGAGGAGAAAGAAGGAGGCTATGTTAGTAAGAGCTGACAGAGCTGTCCAATGTGCCCCTAGTTTCTGCACCTGCCCATGATTTGGATGTGGTGAGAAATGCTCGATGGCTGTTAAATGAAGAGCACCATCTCACCCATTTTTCCCTCATCATCATCATCATCAACAGTGATTATTATACGGCGGCCGGTGCAAACAGCAACTGAACTCGAAGCTTGTTTCTTTCGTATACACTGCGACCTTGTACAAATAAATACAAACCATCGGGTTTTTGGTTTTTTTAGAGCCGACCGGTACACATAGGATGAGTCCGACCGGGAGTGGGTAAAAAGCCATCTGCAGCAAACTGATGATCAAAAGCCTGTCTGTCTCGGTTGGGTGGTTATTATAATAAGAGACCTGACAACAACCAACAACAACAACAACAACAAACAGTCATCAAGAGGAACCCAGCATACAGACAACCACCACACTACCAACAACAACAACAACAATCAAGACACCAAGACAACCACTAACAACAACAAGAAGAACGAAGAACGAAGACAACCCACTTCATAAAGATCGGGAAAACCACTTGCCATCTTGTACATTGAAAGCTGGGAAAGATACAACACACAAGCTGAAAGCTGATCATAAACCACTAGAAGAGCATCCAGTCTGCAAGTCTCTCTTCCTCTCCCAATCTCTCCTGTCGTATTGATATTGCAGGTACTGACTTGCCACAACGATCCGGCTTCCAGATCAAACTTCGATCATCATCCTCAGAAGACATCACAAACGCACACCCAGTCAACATGGTGGGCCCATCGACTGTTCCCAGGAGACATGCTTTCCCCGTCTTGAACGTAAGCCAATCCATCCCTTTTTTCTTTTTTTTTTGGAGAGCGCTTATCACCCGTTCCTGACCATCATCTTATCATCATGCGTGTGTATCTAGGACCAATTCTTCGTCGACGAAGATTATGAATTCGTCAAAGAATTGGGCCAAGGTGCTTACGGTATTGTCTGGTAAGCCCCATCCTTCACTCACTTCGCTTCACATATCTCATCTACTGAATCGTCTATTGGGTTCGTATATTGAACACAGCTCGGCAAAGAATACAAAAACTGGGAAAAGTGTGGCAATCAAAAAAGTCAGCCATTCATCTTCTCATATCTTCCCTTTTTAGCCGCATTCTAAATTGCCTCTCATTATGGTACATTGTGTTGAAAATTATAGGTGACTAAGATTTTCACTAAAAAGATCTTGACTAAACGGGCTTTAAGAGAACTCAAGTAAGTCCACCCCCCCAAAAAAAATCGATCTGACTTACAGATCAAGAAAAAAGGGCTGATGTGAATGATTGATATTTGAATCTTTGTAGGTTATTACATCATTTCCGAGGCCACAAGAATGTACATCCCAATTCTATTTTCCCATCTCCTTGCAAAAGAAAACACACACGAAATACTGCAGACCAAGAACTGACAATCCACCCCACCCACCGGACGACGATCGATCGAATACAGATCACGTGTCTGTACGACATGGATATCGTCAACTTTGATTCGTTCAACGAAGTCTATCTATATGTCAGTACTGATTTCCCTAATCTCTTTTCATCAACTTCATTAACCTTTTGTTTTTTTTTCATTCACGTTGTAGGAAGAATTGATGGAAGCCGATTTACATGCAATTGTGAGCTTTTTTTGGAACCAAATTCAGAAAGTTACTTGGAAAAAGAAGAAGAGGCTGATGATGATGGAATTCTAGATTCGATCGGGCCAACCATTGACAGATGCCCATTTCCAATCGTTCATCTACCAAACGCTATGTGGCCTAAAAGTGAGCGATTAATCGGATTGACATTCCCCGTCTCAAGCAGAAGAAAGATATTGACACGATTGTAAACAAATTGAACAGTATATCCATTCGGCCTCAGTTCTACATCGAGATTTAAAGCCAGGAAACCTACTAGTGAATGCGGATTGTGAATTGAAGATCTGTGATTTCGGCTTAGCCCGAGGCTTCGAGACCGACCCGGCTTTGGCACAAGCCACCAACCAAGGATTCATGACCGAATATGTGGCCACGCGATGGTATCGAGCTCCTGAAATCATGCTCAGTTTCCAAAACTATACTACTGCCAGTTGAGTTCATCAAGTCTTTTCTATTTCATCATGTGATGTCATGTTGACTTTGAGATACAAAAATTCCCCTTTGATGATAAAAAAGTCGATATGTGGTCTGTTGGTTGTATCTTGGCAGAATTGTTGGGCGGAAGACCGATCTTCAAGGGGAGAGATTATGTGGATCAACTGAACCAGATTCTCAACTATCTGGGTACCCCGTCAGAAACGACCCTTCGAAGGGTAGGATCACCCCGAGTAAGTGTAAACAGAGAGATCATGTCAAAGACTTGGATCAGAATTCTGATGAGTTATCCTATATAGGCCCAAGATTATATCCGATCATTACCCTATAAACAGGGAGTATCATTTGCAGAGCTCTATCCGGGGGCGAACCCCGAAGGCCTAGACCTCTTAAGCAAGCTGTTAGCCTTCGACCCATCGGAGCGGATCACCTGTAACCAAGCGCTCCGTCATCCGTATCTGAAAGTCTGGCATGATCCGGAGGACGAGATCGATATCAAGGAGAAGTTCGACTTCAGCTTCGAGTCCGAGGATTCGACCGAAGGCATGAAACAGTTGATCATCAATGAGGTCGTCAGTTTCCGCCAATCCGTCAGACCTAACCATTCTCTTCAACCTGCTCATTCCTCCGGAGTTGCCGCAAATGCTACGGCCACCCCCTCCGACTCCGCTCCTGCTCCTTCGTCGGTCAATGCTCCTGTTGGCCAGACTGGAGCTGCTGAATCTAGTCCTGCTAGTCAATCCAAATCCTCCGGATCAGACGGCCATAAAGCGTGAGCTTTCTTCACCTCTTCTGAATCTCTACCAAACCAAACTCTTAATCATGTTTTTTTCTTTTGTTGGAATCAGATTACCGATTCCGTCGCGAGAAGTCGTGATGAGTTCGCCGACAAACAGTGTCGTAGGTGGGACCAGTGGAGCGACCACCTCGACGACGACGACCGTAGCTAGCAGTGTGACGATGAATGCCCAAGACGACGGGCCGCTCATTCATAGCCCCGTCGACGACCATCCGGCCCAGGACTTGGACGCCGAACTCGTCGCGCGTGACTTCTGACTTCCTTCTCCCGATCGTCGACCCGCTATCGTCCCCTAGTAATCTCTCTTACCCTCTCAAATTGGAATCGATATCATTTTTTTTTTTTTTTGGCGTTTCTTTGTTCACTTAAATAGACTAATTTTCTTTTCTTTTTTTTTTTTTTCTTTGGGTGTGTGTATTTCTTTCATCTCCTTTCATAGCACTTTACTTGTTTTGTTTTGCTTTCTCCTGATCCATTTTGTTTTCAGTTCCTCTTAAAAATAAATTCTTCTCTCTCTCTCTCTCCATCTCCAATATACACCCTGCACCCTATAACACACGATGAACAAAAAAAAAAGTGTACACATTCCCATGCCAAACAAAAAAAAAAAACAGAGTTGATGTGTGTGTGTGAGTGTGAATAGACATAACGATGGTCTCATATTGGATCGATGATTGATCATGATCATCAAGCAAGACAAGATCATCATCTTCCAACCTAACTTCCTTGATAGGCTTTCTTTTTTTTTCCTCTTTTTTGTTTGTTTTTTAGCTTAGCTTAGCTTAGATTAGAGAAATGTGATACATCAAACACAGATTCATAAGTGCAGATCAGATAAAAAAAAAGAGATGATTGATTTGTAATCATACTAATATGTAGATGAGTTGTAAGTATGTGGAGTCGAATGTAGATAATTGAGCAGCAGTAGCAGTAGTAGTAGCAGTAGCAGCAGAGGGCCGGAATTGAGGAAGAGGATGGACCTGTAGTGATAGAGAGAGAGGGGGGGGCAGAAGTTGGCCGGTAAGCTCAGGATGTCCTACTTATGTGCAGACTTGCAAGGGTTATTTTGATGTATGGAGGGAGAGTGCATATATTTAATTACTTTTTTCCCCATCCTGGCTGCAAACGTTTCGAAGCTTTAATGTCTGGGGAGCTCCCTTTTTTTAAAGCATTGACGTTCATCAGACACTAGTGTAGTGCTTTCTCTGCATGGCCGGGTTACTCTCGTCTGCCTTCAATCATCTAATTCGCTTCTCCCCACGTCCCTTGTCTAAGGTTCTCTGCAAAGATATGTGAACTCATGAGGCGCAGATGCAAAGCCTTCTTGTACTGGCCTTGTTTTATGGGGTATTCTATAACTTATCTTGTCACTTCAGTGAAGCTTTTTTTGCTTTATTTTTTTTGTTAATCAGAGTCGGAGTTTACCTGTTTTAGTCTCTAATATATTGCATCATTAAAAGGTTAGTACAACGCAGCAGTGGCCTCTACTCCAACTTTCACCTGGATATCTGTGAGCCTGAACAGCAGTCCATCATACCAAAACAAAGCAAAGATAAATACAATAAGGACGATTTGGTGTAGTCTCTCAGACAAGAATTATATATCCAGCCTATGAAGCAAGGCCCTCATCTCCCTATGGAAAGTCCTCATGGGGCACCTTGGCTTTTATATAAGATCAGCTAGCTGCTACAGGTTGTCCATCCAAAATTCAAGCCAGCAGTTTGCTTTGATCAAGACGGGCAGATGGCTCTCTCTAAGTCACAGCTTATATATGTCACACTTCATGGAGGCTTTTGGTAAGCTTTTTCACTAGAGACACATGAGGATGGCAGAGTTTTCAACCTCGACAAAAGCAAAAAAAGCGAAATAAATACTTAGTATGAATTAAATTCCAGCTGATCAGGCCCAAGAAACTCATCAGTACAGTTTTCTCAGCTATCTCAACAGACTTGTTGATACATTTTTTTTTTGCTCTGGAGTAGGTCTACAAGCTTCTACAAGCGCTGAGTGATGGGCGGAGTCGCTCAAACTAGGGCTTACAGCTCCCTGCCGAGCCCGAACTTAGCGAAGTCCCCTCCCTCCGCACTGACACTGGGGACTTGTGCTAAGTTCGGCCGAGCCGAGACTGTCAATTCTTCTGAAGACCATACGAAAAACCTGCGGTGTGAACTGGTTTTTGTGGACCTGATCAGGCCAATGGATTGGAATTACGCAGGCCCTTGGATCGGTCCGTGCCGACCCGAATATCAGTTCGCCCTGTAGGCCAACGGATCGGAAACACGCCTTCAAGAAACTGTGGTCTGTGTGACACCGCAGGCCAGTTGATCAGACCGTTAAAAATGCTGTACTCCACTTTTGTCTACATCGGTTAACTCTGCTCTATCAGACTGTCTCCTGGAGCGGCGGTTGCTTGTGTCAATGCTTCGAATCAAAGATTTATATGTTGATAGCTTTGCAGCATGCAAATGTTTCACTTATGATTACTGCAACATGAACCAATGAAACAACATGAAATAAGAAATCTCGAGCGGCCTCTCTTGGACACGTCAACAAGATATCCTTGAATATATATACTTGCCTCCTAGAGGTATCATGTGCCCTTGATTCCACAACCTGCAACCTTCTGATGGCTATGTTTCAGCATCTTGATATTTTCTTGAAAAATATGTTCTTGATTTCTCTCTTGGTGGCCATTATGGTTAGATATTCCTATGATTTTTTAGATTATAGGTTACAAAGCTGCATGAAAATGCTAATCACACATTCTGTAAAATGAAAGGTTTTTCAAGGAATAGTTGCACCAGCAATTATCAATCCAGCCAATCAAATTGGTAAATGAATGTCTCATTTTCACACAGAACCATCCATCACAAGACAAACTGAATACATCTTGTTTGCTATCAAATTTCTAGCTGCTGTGGATGAAAGGGGTCTATTGAAATCTGGTCACCAGCTCATGAAGCGTACAGAAAATCCTGTGAGTGATTTACTTGTGGTTTTCTATGATACAAGATGGTCAAGAATCTGATGTTTCCATCTAATGATGGTTTATCAATTAATCTAGGCAAAAGATCCATCCAAATTATGCCCGGTTTGTGGGATACCTGGTCGAGTAGAGGGAAAGGAGAAATGCATAATTTGCAACCAAAAACCTGTAAGCAATGGAGGACTTCCCGTCAACATCTGCGGGTCTCCCAGAGTCGGTTTAGAGCCGCGAAATTCAAATTTCTCTGCAAGAATTAAGAGTTTTCGGGTCTAGATTGACTTATGCAAGAGTCCCAGATCTGACGGGAAGTCCTCCAATATCCTCAAATTCAAGTTTGAATCTGGAAGAAATCATAAGCTTATGTATGTTATGTCTTCTAGGATGGTAGTTTGCCGTTTTTACCCCAATGCCGTGATCCAGAGTGCAAGACACAAGGCATTATGCGTTGGAGGCCTGGTTCAACATGGTATCATTGTTCTACATGTGGTTACCTGCTTAATGTGGCTCCTAAGTTAAATCGCTAGTGATTCTATCTAGTCCTTTCACACAGCACCAAAGGAAAACCTTTGTCAGCATTCAAGTAAATACAGATTCTAAAGTAGAAATTCTCTATATATCCTTATATTCACTTTCATCATATGCTTGCAAAGAGTTGTCCACATCATTCTCGATTTATAAGTTTTTCCTTACTGATCTCTATGCTCCCCAGTAAAGATGACGATCGATACTCGGGTACCTCTAGCGGTACCCTGGTACCTCCTTTGTTTTGCTCAGAAATGGACACCAGGTACCTCACCTGGCACCCCCTGGCGGGTACCGGCGGTAATTTGGGCGGGTACCAGCGGTACCAGCGGTACAAATAGCACTCTTATGAATTGAAATTGCAGTTGAATTTTTTTTCTCACTACATGAGAGTATTTGTTGAGCTACTCATCTAATACTATCACCTTTCTTTTCCCTTTCCCATCTGATTTGCCCTTCTTAGCAGTCTGAATACAATCTTTCCACTTCGCCAACACCCCTTCCTTTATCATCCCATTCTTCGAGTAGAAGGCAACGGCCATCCCCCTACTTAGTGACTGTGCGGAGAGACGGTGCCTCTTTGATGACACATAATCGCGCCCAAAGCTAAATGCCCTTTCAACATCAACAGATGTGGCTGCAAAAAATTGTCCAAGAAAGATTACTAGTCAGTTTGTGCAAGGAAAAGGTTCCAAGAAGGGCTACTAACCTGGGCAACTCAACACATCCAACGCCATTTGAAGCAATCCCCCGTGTGTGTTCCCTGATTTTTTCTGTTGCAACCACCACTTCAGTGGATTGACTGGTTCGTTGTTGTTCAGTATGAGCCCCCCTGCAAGCCACATGTCCAAAGGGTCAGTTGATGAGTGGCCTCCCCGGGCCGCGGCTGCACTACCCAAGCCGGCAAGCATTCCAGTCTTTGGCTGCAGTCACAGATATTTTGGATTAATTTAGTATGAGAAAAACAAGACAATAGTGAGGCTGTATTGATTTGGCTTACCTTGTTAGCAACAACTGCTGATGAGGTGGGAGGAGTAATTGGCTTGGGCTTATAAACAGAAACCCACATCTCCCGGGTGAGCCGTATTGCTTCAGAAATCCATTCGGGTTCCCAGTTAGCAAGTTTGAAGTACTCGTCGCGAAAGGATGGGTGAAGAACTGACAAGTGTGTTAGTGAAGGACATTCAACTTCAATAAGCTAGGAGACTGTCAGCCTCTATGCTACTAACCTGAGTGGGTTGTGCTATGAGTGTTAACAAGAAGAGTAATTGAGAAGGTTTATTCGTGGTTAAATCCCTCAACCTGTAAAAGAAACAGGGAGGAGTCAGTGAGGAATGGTACTTCTACTGCTGACTCATCCAATTATTCAATTGGGCATCCAGATCAATCCTGTTACGTGGATTAATAGGCTTCCAATGTGAGGAATTCTTCTACTCACTTGGGATCAAGTCTTTTAACAACAATCCAGATGAATAAGTGTATGTACACTTAAGGACCAGAATTGTTTAACCAGGGGGATAATTCTTTATGCAATAGAGATAAGTAGAAATGCCTTGAATCTGAGCAAAGTAAATCTATTTAGGTCTAAGGTAGCTGGATTGTAATGTTATTGGTGGTTTGAATCACTAATAATCACGGTACAAGTGTTGGTTTGATGCTACTAGAATTTCCTGGGGGGAAAAGGTAGGAATCTGAGCTCCTTAAATATTCTACAGGGGGCTCAGGGGAAGAGGAGAGGCCCTCAGGGCACTAGGGAGCTTCTTAGCAGCTCTACAATTTCGTGTAAGGATGGGAGCTGCAGCTGTGCAGTGCTATGCATGGGTGGAAGGTCCTAGGACATGAGATCATACATGCATAATTGAGTTTTGTGGCCTATTTCTCACGTAATTGAAAGGGCTACAGTTACTGTGCAGGGGCTGTGCAATTGTAGAGTTGGTTGCATACGTGTAACTCTGCTTATGCAAGCTTGTGATCATGAGAAATGCATGTCCTTCATGCATAATTCAGTCTTGCATGTAGAATTTGGGCTCCTTTCCCGTGCAGGCTGCTTTGAATTATGCAAGCTTTGAATTAGAGCACAAAAGGGTCTTGATGACGCCATCCAAGAGGGTTATGATGCAATCTGATGCCCTGATGATGTGATCAAGGATGGGTAAGCTTCAGATAAATGTATATAGCTTATTCCTCATCCATTTCACGCTTCTACTAGCTGATTCTTTATACATATGTAATTATTTATGGCTTATAAAATATGTACATAATGTATAAGAATAAACATTGTTTTAATACTTTATTCTTATGATATTTCTGTGAAATCCTAGTGATATTATATGTACAATACTCAAGGGGATTTCACAGTTAATTATAAAATTATTAAATATAAATTATGAATTAAGATTAAATGTAAATACATATTTATTTATTTATTATTTTAACAACAATGTATAGTGTTTTCCAGTATTCATTTATTTATTATTATTGCAGTTACTAGGTACATTTCACGTACTGTGAAATGTGCTCTGTGGCTGACAGAGACTAACATACCAATTGCAATCCTATAAAGAGGGGACATATCCGTCAAGCTATAATACTTGTTGGTTAGTTTCAAGCCAACTCGACAAGCATTGCGCAACGCTGGTGGATACTTTGTCCCACTGATGGCGGTTGATAAGTGTTCAGTAATTTGATCGATGAATACGACAATGTTGAACAAGCGAGCCGAGCCAGGGGTTGAGATCTGGAGGGTTATTTCGTAGAATATATTCATTACCTCTGCCAGGTGGCGTGCTAAGTTGAAGTCCGATTTTTCAAGGTAGTACTTCCGGTCAATGCCGTGTCGTTTATGCCTCTGCCATTCAATGCTGGGGTTGAAACCAATCATCAGATCATCAGCTCAAGGAACATTCCATGTGAATGTGAGGAGAACTCACATGGCAGCCTCACATCTGATTATGCTGATGAGTTGGGAGTAGGTTGAGTTCCATCGTGTATGAACATCTTGTTTGATCGTATGAGGAGTTGCACATCCCTTATCACGACAAATCTGACGAAACTCGTCCTTTGAATTGGGGGAGTACCTTAACTTTTTAGCAATGGCACAAAACTGGGTTGATTGATCAGACAGGAGTGTCAGTTTGAATTAGACTGATTGAAAATGAGTCTATGAGAGACATCTACTTTTGCCAAGGTTTGCTTGCAACCCTCCGTTGTATATGCGTCCGAGTCACCCTCATCACTTGCGTTATCAATGTTCTCGAGAGTGAGCAACTCAGTTTCCTCCTGGTCATTTTGAGCAATTGACTCATTGTTGCTTTCATCAACATCTTCATGAAATGATGATGATTCAGCCAAGCCTTGAGAATACCTTGATAGTGAATAAGAAATGCATGAGAATATGAATATAAAGTAATGATGCAAAGCAAGAGTCTAACAGAGTTGGACTTACGGTCGTATTTGTTCCTCTGCATCTTCTTCTTCATCTCCAGAGCCCAAATCTTCTGAGTCATCCAGATGAACTGATCCTGATTGGTTTGTTGTCTTTGATTTCTTTTGACTTCCTAACGGCTGGAGGATGGCTTGAGCTATCAAGTTCAGCACATGGGCAAAACACCGTATCCAATGCGTCTCGCCTTTGAACCGCGCCCACTTCTTCTTCTTCAGTTCACTAAACATCACCTTGTTGTTGGAAGCATTGTCACTGACAACCCACATATCTAAATAGAAAAAATCAAAATCAAATTTGTTAGTCAACCGGTTAGTAATAGATAAAATATGAGCCACTGGACAGGGCAATACAGACCTTGTCTTGGATCCCAAACTTTTCCACAACCAAGCTAACCGTCTGCGCCAAATATTCACCGGTGTGACTGTGAGCAAGCCGAATGAAGTCGAGAGGCATTGAATCAAGCTTTGTTTCCCCAGAGTTGTCCTCGGCTAATCGGTAGACCACAGTGCCTAGGATGTCAAATCCATTAGGTGACTGCCAGGCGTCAACACCCAAGTACAATGAACCTGGGTGTGCCTATAAATCAGGATATTGAGATAAATAAGATCAATCAGGAAATTTGGATTGAAGAAGGGGGTCCTAATGATGTAAGGAGAAGCACATACCTTTTGAATTGCCTTATAATCCTCTTGTATTGCAGAGTATAACATGTGGATGTCACTTGAGACTGTTTGTCTTCCTGGTAGAGACCTCTTGATTGTTGGATGAAGCAGGGCCTTATGGCTCTCCTCAACTAGGGCAGAAAAAGGCCTCGCAGCCTCGGCACACCATATTGCACAGAGTTGATTAACCTGAAGAAAGATCAGAAATCATCAAACATCAGCAGATGTTTGTCTAAATTTGAACAGAATCAGTATGACTTGCCTCTTGGGGATTGATGTCTCCGGTCCCTTTGATACCAAGTCCAGCAAGAGACTGGTGATTCTTGGATTCATTTTGCTTGCGGAGGCAAGTCGCTGCATGCTTGTTAAGGTTACTGCATGAGGAGTCCGAAGTCGGACGATTAATCCTAGAGCCACAACTGTTGAACGATGTTGATGTTGATGTCAATGTCAGCTGGGATCAAACAAACCATTTAGACAACGTGAGTTGAACTCACATTTTGCAAGGATAGCATATCATCCTTCTTCCATGCTTGTCTCGTTGGTCCGAGAGCTCGGGTACGAGATACGACTGATAGCTACTACTGAGGGCATTCGCTGCAACTCGGCGGGCTCTTTCTGGAATGGTAATTCGCTAGTTAGTGATTTATATCATTGAAACTTGAATAAATAAAAGTGAAAGGATGAGTTACTTACTCAACTCCTGAATGTCACTTGCTTCATGACTCATGTCAGTTTGGTGCTGGGTGCTAGCCAGAGTCGTGAGGTCTTCTTCTGCATCAGTGGCCGCGCTCTCGTTGGGATTGGAGGGGTTCGTTTCCGTTAAATTCTCGGTTGGATAGGTCGACGAGGCCGATGATATGCGAGAAGCCTTGGGTCGCTTCCGGGTGGATGACATTGTGAGGGACTGGAGCAAGTTGGAGGTTGTGGCCGTATATATGCTGTGGGAGGAGATCGTCGGCGATGGAGGAGAACACCCCAGCTCCTGCCCCCCCACCCCCAACCCCCAATAAGGGAACAATGGCAGCGGTACCCGGGTGCCTAGTAAAACTCCAGCCAAATATCAATACCCGGCACCGCACCCGGGACCGCCTGGCGGGTGCCAGGCGGGTCCGGGCGGTACCAGGCAAACGGGTGCCGGGTACCGCCAAACGGGTACCGATTGTCATCATTACTCCCCAGAGATACAAGAAGAGATGACATCACAAATTATTTCCTCTTGCTCTTCAGACACATCCACTACAAGAAAAATTCAGGCAACTGTGTACAGTTGACATGTGATATTACAAAGAGTTTTGTCAAAAAAATTCTTCGGCTTGAAGCCAAAGAAAAAACCGGTGTAAGACTCAAAAGTGGTTATGAAAACCCTTTTGCTGAATGGAGAAGGGTATGTTGGAGTTGCAAGCTCTGCCCTTCTATACTATCAGAATAACAAGACCACCAAGCTTAGCTTGGCAATTTTATATATGGTGATAGGGATAAGTTCAAGATGAAGCTGCCGATTGATATGTGTGAGGGTATAAAGATGTTATTGACTGTTGGTTATATTGATGAAGTTGTTGTTGATGAATATGGTTCAGGGCACTTTTGGTTTATGATGATGATGAAAGTGTTAAATCTGTATTTCAATGTATATAATTCTGAAATTGTAATGTGGCTATGACTTGTAGTTCTGAAATAATATATAAGATGGATTTCTCTATAAGGGTGGTTGAGATGATCTGGTCCACTGGTGGGATCATGGTCCCCTGGTCGGATGATGGACACCTGGTGGGATGATGGAGGGAACAACTGGCAGGCAGAGGCCTCCTTATATAGACAAATGTGAGGGATTTTGGCCCCAGGGTACAGGCTGAAAGATACTACTACAAAGGGATGCATATGAATGAATAAAGGGATGCATATGTATGATCAAAGGGATGCTTACATGCAATATCACTAATACAAAGGGATTCAAAACAACGTAAAGGTATTCAATTTACTACAAAGGAATTCAGTATGCAATATTCATCCTGTATTCATAATGGCTATGGCTAGAGTGCAGAATCCAAGAAATATCCTGTGACAGGTTGAAATCTGTGTAACTTCTAAACTATAAGAGATAAGGGTATGGTTTTAGTGGGTGACTAGGGGTTATTTTACCTGAGGATTCCATTTTTGATGTCATTTTTACCATATCTTGAATGAATAAAGAGATAATAAGGAATTTTTATATTTTCTGCGTAGAAACACAGTATTATTACCACACC